GCAAACTCTGTAAGATCCCAGGTAACTGGATCATATATTTCAATAAGCATAGTACTGATTCCCACCAAAACTAATATTAAATTAATTAAAATTATGTCTCTGTATTGTTTTCCTGAAGAGCCTTGGATATGCCTACTTATTTGATGTCATCCATATCTCATCTCAGACATAAAGATGCAATCAAATCAGTAGCCTCAGAGAAGATCTTAAATGAGATAAGTATTTAACACCTCTATAAAGTGCAGTATTGATCATATACTCACTGAATTGCAGTTGGCTTCTGATTGGTCTCTTCACCTGTAATCTCTTGGGCTTCAGGTTTGTTGTCTATAGAGTGAATGTTTTCTTTATATAACTCTAATCATTTCATTCTTTGCTTTCATGGTCTTTAGAATAAGGCACAAATTCCTTAGAAAAGCAACAAAAATCTTTAATGATTTGACCCTTGCCCACCAATCAGCCTCATCTCTCCCCACCTCACAGCAGTATCATATTACTCCTTGTCTAGAAGGCTCTTACATGCCCTGTACATGAGCTGTACTTTGCCTGGAATGGCCTCCACATATTCCCAAGTTGTTGGTCAAATGTACTACTACTTAATGCTTCAAAACCCAAGGTCAGGCAATACTTTTTTCTGTAAATCCCTTCTTATCCTCACCCTAGAAAGTTAATCATTTCCTCTCCTGAGTAACTCTTATACCTTGAATATATTTCTATTACTTTATTCCTCACATTTCATTGCAATTATTTGTGTGCCTGTTTATTCCCCCTATTTATTGTAAAATCCTTAAAAAAAAGTTCCATGTATTTTTTAATCCTAGAAAAAGTACCTGGTATATATTAGGACCAGTAAATATTTATTAAGTGAATGAATGAATAAGCAATGGTTATTGGAAAAATTAGAGAAAGTAATCTATTCATCTGCCAGGCAATAACCAAGTACTTTCATAGTGTTCTACCTTTATAAACTATATAAAAATATTACAGAAATCTAGTCAATGTTTATTATGTGCTTCAGGATACTGTACACCCTTTTGTGGAAGTTTCTTTTCAACACACTGTATATCAAACCAGTAGTGCAAGTGGATCTCATCCATGCTGGAATGAAGAAATTAGAGTAGATTTTGTGTAAGTTGAAGTCTATTTTTATTCAACACCTAAAAAATATTAGTAACAAAACTATTTTCTTGAGTCATTATTGAAATTGATTATCTAGGTAAACCTTATATTTTAAACTTTTAATTTTGAAATATTTTATATATATGTATGTATATATGTAGGAGCTCTGGTAGCATAGTGCCTGAGGACTTGACTGCTAACCAGAAGGCTGGTGATTCAAACCCACCAGCCACTCCTCGGAAGGAAGGTTGAGCAATCTACTTCTGTAGTGATACTGCCTCGGCAACCCAAGGAGGGGTCGCTATGAGACGGGTCCGACTCGATGGCATATAACAACAACAACATGTATATATGTATTATAAAATGTGTATATGTGTATAAAATAATATATGTAAGTTCTGAATAAAAATAATAATAAAATGAATAGTTATATATCTGCTATCCAGCTTAATAAATCAGAAGGCTTTAGAGATTAAATGTCAAAGTCCTAGTGAGAATGACTTAAAGGAATTTCCAACATAAATAAGAATGAATTCTCAGGTGTCTTCAGATGGCACAACTTACATATGAAAAATAGTAGAAACACAAAGGCAGAATACACAGAATGCTTTTTAAAAATACATATATACACAGTTTGATATTTACAGATCACAGAGAGAAATGTGACCGTTGTGCAGTAAGATGCGTATTGGCATAAGCTCCCTAATGAGCAGGAACCATGCCTCTCTTGTTCACTATTATGAAGCAGATAAAGAGTTTGAATGAATGAATATTATATAATCCCCTTACTTGTACTGAGGTACAGTTTTTCCAGTTGGTGGCATCTTGTATTAATGTGGTACATTTGCTATAATTGATGACTATTATTATTAATAATTGAAGTACATAGTTTACATTAGGATTTACTCTTTGTATTGTACAGGCATAAATAGTATTTAATTGTTATTGGAATTAAAGAATATTGGTCAAGAGAAATTGGAAATAAAATAATTCCCACATGGAACTTAAAATTGTTCTCTATATTCAACTATCAATTTTCAGGGTTATGGCCAATAGATCTTTGGCTCTCAGCAGGGTGAAACATTTATAAGGAACTATCCCATGTATTCATTATCAACCTCCTTTTCCTTTTCATGGTGCCCTTTCTCCCTTCTCTTGCTATCATGAGGTTCCTATCTGCGGGATTTTTTTGTTTGTGTTTTTCTGCTTTTACTTTTATTTGCATTTTATTTAAAGAGAAGTTAAAATTGTTCTCTAAGCTCAAGTAGCATTTTTTGGTTGTCACTGTTTATAGATCTCAGAAAGTTATAGAAACTGTTGAGGGTCCGTTGAAATAGTAGTTGCTTCCATAAGCACCAAGTTTAAACAAATAATATCAGTAGCAGTTGGTATAGTGAAAAGAGCCTAATCTTTGGAGTCAGTCAGAAATGGATTCAGATCAGGCAGGGCTGTGTCCCTTTTTGGCAGCATTACCTTTAGCAAGTAGTTGAACTTCTCTGAGCTTTAGTTTCCCCATGTAAAATAATCTACTGCACTGGATTGTGATTTTTATCACTGTTTGAAATCTGATCAACACTTCATATGCAAGCTGGAGTTGAGAGAAGAAATTGATTGCTCATGATATGCTGCACTCAGGAGTGAGTTACCTGATAAGCAAGGTAAGCACAAGCTTACTTACAGTTACTTACTAATCTATAGTGAACAATTTCACATCTGTGATGAAACCCAGGTGAAATTGTTCACTATAGATTAGTAAATAAGCACAAGTAAGCCCCTGCTTACCTTGTTTACTTGGTAATCTGACATTGACTACATTTTCCTTTCAACTATCTCGAAAAATATATCAGCAGATGAATTACAAAATTGAATGCACTCCACTATCCCAATTTCTGGTTGGAGAAAATAAATATGGAAACGAGAATAAGCCCGTGATTAAAGAGTCCTATCTACTCACTCCCTGAAAGCAGAAAATACATTTTAGCTGTATGGGCAAATTAGCAGAAACTAGCAGAATTTAAGGTAGTTGGAAACTTTTGCACTCCAGATAATTTGTTTGCAGTGGATGGCTATAGTCTTTCTGCTTGACATTTTTATTTTTCATGCACATCACTGTAAGAGATATAAGAGAAATTACAGAGCACAACTGGCTTTAGTTAAAGATATCAGCCATTCTTCAAACCACATATCTTCTTCTTAGTTTGTTGTTGTTAGGTGCTGTCAAGTCAGCTCCAACTTATAGCGACCCCGTGTCCAACAGAATAAGACACACTTCTGGTCCTGGGCCAGAATACCTGCTGTACCTGAGCCCATCATTGAAGCCACTGTGTCATCCATCTTGTTGAGGCCCTTCCCCTTTTTCATTGACCCTCCACTTTACCAAGCGTGATATCCTTCTCCAGGGAATGGTCTTTCTGACAACATGACCAAAGTAGGTGAGACAAAGTGTGGCCATTCTCACTTCCAAGGAGCATTCCGGCTGCACTTCTTCAGGTCAGATTTGTTAGTTCTTCTGGCAGTCCGTGATACTCTCAGTATCCTCTGCCAGCACCACAATTCAAAAGCATCAACTCTTCTTCAGTCTTCCTTATTCACTGTCCAGCTCTCACATGCATATGAGGCCATTGAAAACACCATGGCTTGGGTTAGGTGCACCTTAGTCTTCAAAGACATATCTTTGCTCTTCAGCACTGGAAGAGGTCTTTTGCAGCAGATTTGCCAAATGCAATACATCATCTGATGTCTTGACTGCTGCTTCCATTGGTGATGTTGGAACCAAGTAATATGAAGTCTTTGACAATTTCAGTCTTTTCTCCATTTATCATGATGCTGCTTATTGGCCCAGTTGTGAGGATTTTCGTTTTCCTTATGTTGAAATGTAATCCATACTGCAGACCGTAGTCTTTAAGCTTCATCAGTAAGTGCTTCAAGTCATCCTCACTTTCAGCAAGCAAAGTTGTGTCATCTGCATATCGCAAGTTGTTAATGAGTCTTCCTTCAATCCCGATGCCACACTCTTCTTCATATAGATATTTTTCAAGTATCTTCATATAGTCCAGCTTCTCGGATTATTTGCTCAGCATACAAATTGAATAAGTATGGTGAAAGGATACAACCCTGACACACTCTTTTCCTGATTTTGAACCATGCAGTGTCCCCTTGTTCTGTTCAAATGACAGCCTCCTAGTCTGTGTACAGGTTCCTCCTGAACACAATTAAGTTGTTCTGGAATTCCCATTCTTCTCAATGTTACCCATAATTTCTTATGATCCACACAATTAAATGCTTTTGCATAGTCAATAAAACACAAGTAAACATCTTTCTGATATTCTCTGCTTTCAGCCAAGATCCATTTGACATCAGCAGTGATCTCTCTCGTTCCATGTCCTCTTCTGAATCTAGCTTGCATTTCCGAAGTTCTCTGTCAGTATATTGCTGCAACTGTTTTTTAATTATCTTCAGTAAGATTTTACTTGCATGTGATACTAATGATATTGTTAGATAATTTCCACATTCTGTGGGATCACCTTTCTTTGGAATGGATACAAATAGGGATCTCTTCCAGTCAGTTGATCAGGTAGCTGTCTTCCAAATCTCTTGGCACAGACGAGTGAGTGCCTCTAGCGCAGCATGCATTTGTTGAAACTTCTCAGTGGGTATTCCATCAATCCCTGGAGCCTTCCTCTTTGCCAATTCCTTCAGTGCAGCTTCAACTTCTTTCAGTATCATTGGTTCTTGATCATATGCTACCTCCTGAAATGGATGACCATCAACCAATTCTTTTTGGTACAGTGACTCTACGTATTCCTTCCATCTTCTTTTGATGTTTCCTGCATCATTTTAGTATTTTGCCCATAGAATCTTTCAGTATTGTAATTTGAGGCTTAAATTTTTTCCTCAGTTCTTTCAGCTTGAGAAATGCTGAGCATTCTTCCCTTTTGGTTTTCTAACTCCAGGTCTTTGGACATTTCATTATAATAATTGACTTTGTCTTCTTGAGCTGCTCTTAGAAATCTTCTGTTCAGCTCTTAATCTTGTCATATCTTCCATTTGCTTTAGTTACTCTCCATTCAAGGGCAAGTTTCAGAATCTCTTCTGACATTCATTTTGGCTTCTCTTCCTTTCCTGTCTTTTTAATGACCTTTCGCTTTCTTCATGGATGATGTTCTTCTTTGTTGTTAGGTGCCATTGAGTCATCTCTGACTCATAGCAACCCTGTGCACAGCAGAACGAAACACCTCTTGGTCCCACACCGGCTCCGTGATCTTTGCTGTACTTGAGCCCATCCCTGCAACTACTGTGTCAATCTATCTCCTTGAGGGCCCTCTTTCGACAGCTCTCCACCTTACCAAGCATGACGTACTTCTCCAGGGAATTGTCCCTTCTGATAACATGACCAAAGTAGGTGAGACAAAGTCTGTCCATTCTCGCTTTCAAGGAGCATTCCAGCTGCGCTTCCAATGGACAGATTTATTAGTTCTTTTAGCAGTCCTTGGTACTTTCCGCATTCTTCGCCAGCACCATAACTCAAAAACATCAACTCTTCTTTAGTCTTCTTTATTCATTGTCCAGCTCTCACATGCATATGAGGCAATTGAAAATACCATGGCTTGTGTCAGGCACATCTTCTTATTCCTCAAGGAGACATCTTTGCTCCTCAGCACTTGCCCGGTGCTGTACGTCGTCTGATGTCCTGACTGCTGCTTCCATTGGTGTCAGTTGTAGAAGCAAGCAATGTGAAGTCTTTGACAACTTTAATCTTTTCTCCATTTATCGTGATGTTGCTAATAGGTCCAGTTGTGAAGATTTTTGTTTTCTTTATATTGAGATGTAATCCATACTACAGACTGTATTATTCAGTCTTCATCAGTAAGTGCTTTAAGTCATCCTCACTTTCAGCAAGCAAAGTTGTGTTGTCAGCATTTCGCAGGTTGTTAATGATTCTTCCTCCAATCTTGATGCCACGTTCTTCTTTATATAGTCCAGCTTCTCAGTTTATTTGCTCACCATATTGACTGAATAACTATGGTGAAAGGATACAACCCTGATGCACTCATTCTTGATTTTAAACCATGCAGTATTTACCTATGCAGTTAGTTTATACTTTTTAAAAGAAAATAACACAGGTAGTTTTTAGTCTTTTGTGAGTATTGCTCTTAAAAAATAAAAAAAGGTAATCCTTTAAATATTCTGTTCTTATTTACAGCTCATCAGGACATGATTACAGTTTCTCAAGTTTGTCTAAAATAAAAGATAATATATATATCAACATTTTTGATGAAATGATGATTGAAAAACATGAGGTAAAGTAGATAATTTTGAAAATGAATGTTGAAGTCATTCGAAGAAGGTCAAACTCAATGAAGTCTAGTAACATATTTGTAAATTTACTTTTAGATAAAATATCTATAGCCAGAATTTTTCTAAAAAGCATTTGAGGCAATGCACAATAAAATCAGATATATGACAAGTTAATTCAGAAGTAACAGAGATCATAAACCATATAAGCCACTACTGATTGACTTATTTGCTATACCTCTTTGTTTTATTTTTTTAATTTTTGCTTTAGGGTTTACAATGTATCCTTTATTAATCTACGTTTCTATGTTATGTACCATTTCATGTATAGTATAGGAACTATAGACCTCCATTTTCCTCTCCTGTACTTGTGCTAGTATTGTAAAACATATAAAATCATTTTTTTTTAAAAAAATAGTCACTTATTTTTGAAGGAGATTAAAAAATATCTTTTCTATTAACTGTTTAGTTTCTTTTTAAAGGAAAGAGAATTATTTTCTATGTGTGAAACTATTCATTCCATATTAAGTAATAGAAAAATTATGCATTTTAATAGGATCACTGTCTAAAGAACTGCAGTGGTCACTTGTATATAAGAAAGAATTGGCTTGGGTCCATTGTCTTCCCTTTCTCTACTCTTCTGCAACAGTCTGAGGTAATAAGAAATGATTCTTTGCTAAATATTCTATAATTGGCAGATTGATAGTTCAGTTAAAAGGTTCTGGGTGTCTCTAGAACAAAAGATACCCACAGATTTATTTCTTATACCTTTAATGTGATTACTGAAGAAGGTTAGGATAGTTGGCCTTAAGCCTTAAAGCAGTATTCATGTTTTTATATATTAGTTTGGTACCAAAACAAAACTCACTTCCATAGAGTCAGTTCCTACTCATAGCAACCCTATAGGACAGAGTACAACTACCCTATAGGGTTTCCAAGACTGTAAGTCTTTACAAAAGCAGACTGCCACATTGTTCTACTGCAGAGCGGCTGGTGGGTTTGAACCACTACGTTTTGGTTAGCAGCCGAGTGCTTTAACTGCTGTGCCACCAGGGCTTCTAGTTGTTTGATCCCAAAACCAAACCGACTGCCTTCAAGTCAATGCTGACTCACAGCAACCCTTTTTCTCAGGACAGAGTGGAACTGCCGCACAGGGTTTCCAAGGCTGTAAATCTTTACAGAAGCAGAAATAAAATACATTTTATAAGCGTTTTTATTGTTCTGGTATGGTAATTTGCATTCTCATTTCATTCGCTTTATTAGATTCTATACATTAGTCAGGGACTCAAGGTGTGAGGGTACCTATGAAATTGATCTTCTTTGTACAAGCAGATAGTAGTAGAACCAGCATGTACCCATGGAAGCCATTTCCCTTCTATAGAGAGGACTGAGCTGGGCTCATAGTGTATTTGACTGATGTTTATTTTCATCATGCATTATCTATTACATTAATATATTCTTCCAGATTAGTGGAACATTTCAAGTAAATATTCCACCAGTTTTGCTTGGTTACACTTGGAGTAAGACTTATGTTTCTCCTAAAGAAGATTACAATGGACAGAATTTAAAAGAATGTACCTTTTTAAATATTTTTGCTACCATTGAGCCTCAAATATCATGTGTCACCTATAATCCAGAGCCAAATAAGGTAGGTTTTACGTTGAATTACATATAGATAGATAGATAGATAGATAGATAGATAGATAGATAGATATAGATATAGATAGATAGATAGATATCTTCAAAGAAATATAAACTGTTTTAAAAAACAGTAATAATGATTTCAAAGCTAATCAAAATAAACATTGGTTCTTTATATTTTCCTGTGAGAACAATATGGTACAATGTTGCAATACCTTAAATTTTATTTTAGTTTTCAGATCAAATAGATGTTTTGCAGAGAGCACAGATTTTTAAAAGACATTGTAAGGCGATGTTTCCCAAACGAAGAATCACAACTACTGTTTTTAATAATGAAGGGATACAGATCTTAGTAACAAGATATATCAAGGCATTAAATCCACCTCAACAACTTCTGGATATATTTCTTCACGATTCTAACATGACATTTGTAAGTTATATTTATTTTTAAATAGCTTTATTGATATGCATATAATTCCCATACTATACAATCATCCATCTAAATAGTTTTTCATATACTCAGAGTTGTAAACCATCACTCTCATCACTCTAAATTTATATTTATTTTTTAAAAATTTTAACTTTGAGTATAACGTTTTGCTAAAATTATTTTGCCTTTAAAGAAATTTTCCTGAGAGAGAGACCATCCAATGAATCCTCCTGAACCCCACATGGAGGAAAACGTTTCTTCCTGATCCCCTTTTGCCCCCTTGGAGTAGAAAAAAGCTATTGCCACCTCAATCCATATGACTGTACTGGCTTCATGCTTTTTCTTCCAAACAATACAAAATGACACATAAAAATTCCTTTGATTTCCAGGAAATATAAAAAATTATACTCCTACAAGTGTGTGTTCTTCTGAGAATTGCTTCTGAAAGATTGCTTCTCATAGTATGTAGGAGTGAAGAAGATATTTTACATTATGTTTTGTAAACAGCCAGCCCAATAGCTCCCACCCCATCCCTCTGTGATTTTAGGTACACCTTTTTACCAACTGATAAAAGAGACATATACTCAAAATTTAATTTCACTTGCATACTCATAAGAGCATATACCTCTTCCCACTTTGAATCTTCCCTTTAAGAAATAAGCTTTGACTAAAGGGCATTTGTAAAGAGTTGCTTATACCTTTTGTTTCTTCAGGTTCAATCTAGTCAAGTGACTCTCCTAAGAACATTTATGCTATTTTTTAGTTATAAATCTCCCTTAGCTGTACTCTTTAAGTTAAACCAAAAGTCTTTAGATTGTCTTTTGCTGCACTCTTCTTTTCCATCAAGGCTCTCTTCCTGTTTGTTACCTGACACCCAATATCCAAGCAGATAATAGTGCTCTCAGATTTATCTAAAAACTTGCCTTTATCTTTTTTTTAATATAAATTCTAGCTCCTTTGCTTGTCAAAAGATTCTGAACCATGTTTAACTAATTGCTTGAAGTCAGAAAGTACAACCTGTGTGAAAAATAAAATAGTGTTTATATTTGCAGCTGTTAAAAATCAGTTAAGATGGCAATGACTGTCTTAGGGTTCTCTAGAAAAACAGAACCATATACAGGTTGTTTTCAAGTTACAATGGGGTGCGATTCCTATGACACTGTAGTAAGTTGATTCTGATGTAAGTCAAATACCACCTTTTTTTTTTTTACATTTTCATTATTATTGCCTTTGTTATCTTTATAAATCTGATCTTTGTCTTTAGGGGTTGGTGGCATAGCAGTTAAAGCATTCAGCTGCTAAACAAATGATCAGTGATTCAAACCCACCAGCTGCTGTTGGGGAGAAATATGAGGGAGCCTGCTTCCAGTCTTGGAAACTCTATGGGACAGTTGTACTCTGTCCTAAAAAAAGGATTTCTATGAGTTGGAATTTACTCAATGGCAGTGGGTTTGGTTTTTGGTTTTATGAAAATGATGACATCAGCAAATTATGCAGTGCAACATTATATGTTGTACATATTACCAATAATAAGATGTACACACACACACACACATACCCACAAAGGACTGTCATAAGTGTAAGTGTGGTTCTTCTAACTTGAATACATCCTAATTGGGGACTACCTGTACATGAGAGAGAGAGATCTAGTTTAAGGAATTGGCTTACACAATTGTTGGGGGCTGGCAAGTCCAAAATCTGTAGATCAGGCAATGTGCTGGAAATTCCTGCCGTTTTGTGTCCCAAAACTCACAGGTCAGGTGACAGGCAAAGTGAAAACTTCTGGGAAAATGTCTGTTTAAAGTCTGGAGGCAGGCTATACCCTATGGAAAATTCCCTTTTTGCATTTAAGGCCTTCAACTGATTAATTGAGGAGCTCTGGTAGCATAGTGCCTAAGGCACTTGACTGCTAGCCAGAAGGCTGGCGGTTCAAACCCACCAGCCACTCCTCAGAAGGAAGATTTGGCAATCTATTTCCGTAGTGATACAGGAGCTCTGGTAGCATAGTGGCTAAGACACTTGCCTGCTAACCAGACGGCTGGCGGTTCAAACCCACCAGCCACTCCTCGGAAGGAAGGTTGGGCAATCCTACTTCCGTAGTGATACTGCCTCGGAAACCCAAGGAGGGGTCGCTATGAGTCAGTCCGACTTGACGGCACATAACAACAAACAACAACAACTCACATTATAGAAGGTAATCTGCTTGTACCCTCTACTGTAAAACAAGAATAACAATAGTGGATATTTCACAGGCTTGTAAGATGGACTAAATGAGATAATAATACATGTAAAGCACTGTGTTCAGTGACAGGCATTTGGTATACACTCACTACATGTTAATATTATTTTAGGACCTCATTGCTCGATTTGTATCTCTGATTCCTTTTATGCCTGATACACTGGATGAAAATGATAGCTTTGATATTTGGATGACATCAGAGGTAACAAACTACATTTTATTATGGTATTTCTTATTTACTTTTCTTTTAAAGATGCCTTTTTAAAAAATGCTATGCACTTATGTTGTACTTTGCCTTGTGAAGTTTTAAAGCATTTTGTTGTGTATATCATTTTCAGTTCTATGATAATGTATGGAAATACTTTTTTAAGGACCAAAAATGTTTTCAATGTTATAAATAGTAATGCACAAATATTGTCATTCAACAAGAATTCTAGGAGAACAATAGTGTGACATTCTTCAGAGCATGATGGCTGTCATTGTAGAGCTGGTCGGACCCCGTGGTCTAGGGCACATACCACTCACTACTCCCCAGACTTCCCCCGGCCGCCCTCCCTAAGTCTGACTGAAGAGCTCACAGGGCAGCGCTCCCCTTCAGCGCCTGGCTTAAAGCTCTCTTTAGACAGGTTGCAGTTAGATACAGGCCCCATGAAATATTTGGGACATACTTACATTAAAAATTACTCATTGTTTATCTAAAATTTGAAATTAAGTGGGAATCTTTTCTTTTTTTCCCCCTAAATCTGACAACTCTAACTGTTGTACTTCTTTCATTCCACGTTAACTTATATTTACTTATGTGTCTGATAGGGAGCTCTGGTGGTGTAGTGCCTAAGGCATTTGATTGCTAATCAGAAGGCTAGAGGTTAAAACCGACCAGCCACTCCTCGGAAGGAAGGTTGGGCAATCTACTACTGTAGTGATACCACCTCAGAAACCCAAGGAGGGGTCGCCATGAGTCTGGTCCGACTCGACAGCGGTGCGTTTGGTTTTGGTTTATGTGTTTGATATCATACCCACACCCTCCATACATATATTCTAATTGGAATCTCCTTGAAAGCAGAGGCAGAACTGATTTTTAATTTATTTTCCTATTCATCACTACACACTACTTTGTATTTAGTAAGCACTCAATAAATATTTCTTTGTAATTGGAAAATACTAATGTGATGGGATCCTAAGAGAGGAATATTTCCCATATGGAACTGAAAGTCCTGACACTTTGTTAGAACACTTTAGATTTGAGCTAAAATAGATTTAGGGGGTACAGGGCTAACTTTAACCTGTTAAATGGAACTTAATAGGTCAGCAACCTTATCTCCTGCTAACTGGGACAAAGGGAGTGACAAGTAGTGATTTGGCTCCAAAATCAAGTGATTCAAATCTGGTAGAACCTGTTACCTCTAGGCTCTTCCAAGACTCAGAATGTATTTAGGGGCATTATGATTCTGCAGAATATTGTAAGAAACTAAGCTAAAAATACATTCATACTAGTACCCCAAGTCTTCCATCCCAAAATTTATAATTAATATCCATAACTAAAAGCCTGCTATAGGCTTGAGATTTCTTTTGACTAATGCCTTCCTATTGCCATGAACTTTTTGGTCATGGAACGCCCTTGAGTATACAATTGATTTGAGTGTTACACAAAAAAATTCAGTCTGCCATTGAATAATGAGTCGGATCTGACTCGACAGCAATGGTTGCATGTTGTTGTTTTACTGAGTTATAGTCACAAGAACTAGCCTTCCCCCTACTCTGAAAAAACTCCTGAAGCATTCATTACCATATTTTTCCACCTCTTTCAAATTACTATCCTTTCCACTAACTTAACTAGGTTACCATACTTAATATTTGGAAAAAAAAGTAAAATCTACTGATTCTTCACAAAAGCTGAGCCTGCAATTTAGATGAGGTGTCACCAGGAGACATTAGTGCTTTGGTCACATAGTCTAATAATGTTGTTGTTGTTGTTGTTGTTATGTGCCTTTAAGTAGGACCCTACTCATAGCAACCCCTTGGGTTTCTGAGGCGGTATCACTATGGAAGTTGATTGCCCATCCTTCCTTCCAAGGAGTGGCTAGTGGGTTTGAACCGTCAACCTTCTGATTAGCAGTCAAGTGCCTTAGGCACTATGCTACCAGAGGTCCTCTAACCACAGTTTATTTCAGATGTCACTTTCCATTCAAGCCTGAGTTTTCCATTTATTTTTTAAAATTATATTAAAATTAGGTCCCTTGAACCACAGTAAAATAAACATTATTTCTTAAAATATATTTTAATATATATTCTCATTTGGTAGCAATTGAAAACATCAGATTTTTAAAATATCTCCCTTCCAAGGTTGTTAGCCAATTCTAAGTTTGAGTAATTTCTTTATAAATTGCCTCCACATATTAGAGTTGAGTGAATAGGCAGAGAAAATGGTAGAGGCCCTGACCACATTTCCTAATGTTCTGTCCCAAATTTCCATCCTACCAAGCTGTGGAGGGGAGGGGAGCAGTGTAGTATATAGTGGAAAGGACTTGGACTTTGGAGTCAAATAAACCTGGGTTCAAATCCCTGTTTAAGCACTTACTAATTGTGTGACCTAAGTTATTTAACCTCTTTGGACCTTGATTCCCTCCTCTGTATCATTTAGGGGGTTTGAAGGGAATATATTAAATAATATATGAAAAGATGTGGACTCCGTGGCACATAACAACAATAACACAAACTGTGGCTCTCAGGAAAAGTGACTGACTTACTCTCACTCATCTCCCTCTCTTGTGAAATCAGCTCAGGGTAGCTTTCTAGCTTGACACTGACCTCTACTTACACGAACACTACTTATATTCTACTCTTAGCTCTCCTGTTCACACTTTTCTTTCAGAAGAGCCTCCTTACCATCCTCCTAACCCCTGTCTCTCACTATCTATCACATTCTGTCAGCGTGTACATTTATGGCCTATCCATTATTAAAACACTGGAATGCTTCCATACTGGTTGGTAAGTAGCCACTGCCAAGAACTCCCAAGATCCCTGCCCCATACCTCCTTGCGTACCACAGTCCTTCTCTGGGACTGAAATGAACTGGAGAACTCATGTCCTAATAGACGGATTGTGGCCCTATCAACATTTGAGTCCACATATGTTGACATAGGTTTTGATTTTTTCAAATGAGGTGAGAAATCCAGGTTTTTGTGTGAAATTTTTCCTTTTTTTTTTTTTTTTGATATTCAAGGGCCAAACAAAACTCACATATAGATTAGAACTAGGTCATAGACCACTAGTCTTTCACCCTGCTGCAACTTTTCTCTCCTCATACCATGGCTTTACCAAATCAAAAAAACAAAATCAGTTGCCATGGAGTCAGTTCCTACTTATGGCAACCCCATGTGTTACAGAGTAAAACACTATCAAGAGGTTTTTCTTGGCTATAATCTTTGTAGAAGCCAGTCACCAGGCCTTTCTTCCATTGCACTATGGGGTGGGTCCAAACTGCCAAATTTTAGTTTAGTAACCAAGAGTAACAACCAAGAGTAAACCGTTTGTGTCGTGCGGCAACGGTACCACTTTACTCCACCGCAATCGAATCAATTCAGACTCATAGAGACCCCCCATAGGGTTTCCAAAGCTTTAAATCTTTATGGAAGCAGACTGCCTCATCTCTCTCTTGCAGAGAGGCTGATGGGTTATAACTGCTGAACTTTGGATTAGCAGCCTACTGCCTTAATGACAGGCCCACCTGCTGGGTGCCCTACATTTGATCTATTACACCCAGATTTGCTGTGCAGTTCTTTTAGTTGAAGTTCCAATCTTCCTGATTGGGCTTCAACTCCTAACCTCTTTCTGTTTGTGTTAAGAACACTATGCTGGTACAAGGCAGAGTATAGCTAAACTGACCATAAGATCACTTCCTACAAAAAAAAAAACCTATGTGATTTCCTCAAAATACCAGTCCATATGTCACTGTTTGCTCAAGGTAGTTTAAAGCTTTTCCTAAATAAAAATTGTCCCATTTTGGACAATAAATTATCTACCTGGTTAAGTGTTCCATAATAAAGGTGACCCCAGTGTTCTAAGCTAATGTTCTCTTCTTCTGATGTCATAGTGGTTTATGAGGCAAAAAGGGGTTCTTGACTTTGGTGTCAGCTCAGCAACCTGGTAAAAATAAGAATGTTTAAAGCTGGAGGAAGTAGATGGGCTTTAAATTTGATGGATACTTGCATTACTCAACTTTCCCCTCATCCTTTTTTTGTCCTATTGCTGCTTTTTTTTTTTTTTTTTTGTCTTAGCGCTGTATCAGTTTGGCTATTGGAAACAAGGAGGAGCATGCCATACTTCTCTGTAATTACTTTTTGTATTTTGGAAAGAAAGCCTTGGTTCTCCTGGGAACTTCAATGTTGGAAGTAAGTGCTGAAGTTAATATTTAAATAGGATTAACAAAACTAAATCAGATGTTAGTTGCAAGTTTAAAAGACTTCATCAAATCCAAATTTACATCTTTTTACAAACTAGTTAGGAATCTAGTATGAATCTAGGAAAATGGGAAGTTCAAAAATGAAATGGAACACATGAAGTTTGATATCCTAGGCATTAGTGAGCTGAAATGGACTGGTTTTAGCCATTTTGAATCAGACAACCATATGATCTACTATGCCGGGAATGATAAATTGAAGAGGAATGGTGTGGCATTCATTGTCACAAAGAGTGTTTTGAGATATGTTCTGAAGTACAATGCTGTCAGTAATAGGATAATATTCATATGCCTACAAGGAAGACCAGTTAATACTACTGTTACTCATATTTATGCACCAACCACCAAAGCCAAAGATGAGGAAATTGAAAATTTCTACCAACTTCTGCAGTCTGAAATTGACTGGACATGCAGTCAAGATATGTTGACTAGAATGCAAAAGTTGGAAACAAAGAAGAGTTACCAGTAGTTACAAAATATGGTCTTGGCGATAGAAATAATGCTGCAGATCGCATGATAGAATTTTGCAAAACCAGTGACTTATTCATTGCAAATACCTTTTTCAGCAACATAAGCAACAACTATACATGTAGACTTCACCAGGTGGAATACACAGGAATCAGATTGACTATATCTGTGCCAAGAGGCAATGTTGTTGTGTTGTTGTTGTTATGTGCCATCGAGTCAGCCCTGACTCATAGCGACCTCTCCTTGGGTTTCCAAGGCAGTATCACTACGGAAGTAGGATTGCCCAACCTTCCTTCCGAGGAGTGGCTGGTGGGTTTGAACCACCAGCTTTCTGGTTAGCAGTCAAGTGCTTTAGCCACTATGCAAGAGGCAATGGAGTTCAATATCTTTGGCCAAAACAAGGCCAGGAGTTGATTGTGGAACACAACATTAACTGCTCATATGCACAGTCAAGTTAAAGTTGAAGACAATTAAAACAAGTCCACAAGAGCCAAAATATGACCTTAATAATATCCCTCCTGAATTTAGAGACATTTAAAGAATAGATTTGATGCATTGAACACCAGTGACTGAAAACCAGAGGAATTGTGGGATGACATCAAGAATATCATAAATGAAGAAAGCAAGAGGCCACTGAAAAGACAAGAAAGGAAAATAAAAAGACCAAAATGGACATTAGAAGAGACTCTGTAACTTGCTCTTGAACAGAGAGTGGCTAAAGCAAATGGAAAAAATGACAAGATAAAAGAGCTGAACAGAAGATTTCAAAGAGCAGCTCGAACAGACAAAGCCAATTACTATAATGAAATGTTCACAGACCTGGAGTTAGAAAACCAAAAGGGAAGATCATGCTTGGCATTTCTCAAGTTGAAAGAACTGAGGAGAGGAAAAAATGTAAGCCTTGAGTTGCAATATTGAAAGATTCTATGGGCAAAATATTGAATGATGCAGGAAGTATCAAAAGAAGATGGAAGGAATATACAGAGTCACTGTACCAAAAAGAATTGGTCAATGTTCATTCATTTCACAAGGTGGGATATGATCAAGAACCAATGGTACTGAAGGAAGAAGTCAAAGCTGCACTTAAGGAATTGGCAAAGAATTAGGCTCCAGGAATTGATGGAATACCCATTGAGATGTTTCAACATACGGATGCCCCACTGAAGGCACTCACTCACTCAATTATGCCAAGAGATTTGGAAGACAGCAACTTGGCCAACTGACTGGTAGAGATCCATATTTGTACCCACTCCAAAGAAAGGTGATCCCATGGAATGTGGAAATTACCGAACAATATCATTACTATCACATGCAAGTAAATCTTACTGAAGATAATTCAAAAACAGTTACAGCAGTATATCGATAGAGAGCTTCCAGAAATGCAAGCTGGATTCAGAAAAGGACATTGAATGAGGCATATCATTGCTGATGTCAGATGGATCTTGACTGAAAGCAAAGAATACCAGAAAGATGTTTACTTATGTTTCATTGACTATACAAAAGCATTCGATTGTGTGGATCATAACAAATTGTGGGTAACATTGAGAAGAATGGGAATTCTAGAACATTTGATTGTACTCGTGAGGAACCTGTACATAGATCAGGAGGCTGTCATTCAAACAGAACAAAGGGATGCTTCATGGTTCAAAATCAAGAAGGGAGTTCTTCGAGGTTGTATCCTTTCACCATACTTATTCGACTTGTATGTTGAGCAAATAATCCGAGAAGCTGGATTATATGAAGAAGAATGTGGTGTCAGTATTGGAGGAAGACTCATTAACAACCTGTGATAAGCGGATGACACAACTTTGCTTGATGAAACTGAGGATGACTTGAAGCACTTACTGATGAAGATTAAAGACTACAGTCTGCAGTATGGAGTATACCTCAATATAAAACAACAAAAATCCTCATGACTGGTCCAATAAACAGCTTCATAATGGATGGAGAAAAGATTGAAGTTGTCAAGGATTTCATATTACTTGGTTCTACAATCAACACCAATGGAAGCAACAGTCAAGACATCAGACAATGTATTGCATTGGGCAGATCTGCTGCAAAAGACCTCTTTCAAATGATGAAGAGCAAAGATGTCTCCTTGAAGACTGTGCCTAACCCAATCATCTAATATGCATGTGAGAGATGGACAATGAATAAGGAAGACTGAAGAAGATTTGATGCTTTTTAGTTGTGGTGTTGGTGACGAATACTGAGAGTACCATGGTCTGCTAAAAGAACTAAGAGATTTGTCCTGGAAAAACTGCAGCCAGAATGCTCCTTGGAAGCGAGAATGGCCAGACTTCATCTCACCTACTTTGGTCATATTATCAGAAGGAACTGTTCCCTGAAGAAGGATATCATGCCTGGTAAAGTGGAGGGTCAATGAAGAAGGGGAAGGCCCTCAGTGAGATGGATCAATGCAGTGGCTGCAACGATGGGCTCAGATATAGCAAGGATCATGAGACTGGCACAAGACAGGAGGGTCACTATGACTCAGAGACAACTCAACTGCACCTAACAACAACAGTTAGGAAATATCATGGGCAAAAATTTGTTAGCTAACATTGGAATTTGGGAGCTCCGGTAGCATAGTGCCTAAGGCACTTGACTGCTAACCAGGAGGCTGGCGGTTCAAACCCACAAGCCACTCCTCAGAAGGAAGATGGGGCAATCTACTTCCATAGTGATACTGCCTTGGAAACCCAAGAAGGGGTCGCTATGAGTTGGGTCTGACTCGATGGCACATAACAACAACAACAACAACATTGGAATTATATGAGTTCAACAAAATTTATATAGTGTAAAGAATGACTTCTTCTTGGTTTTCTCTTTTGTAAAATACTACTAATAATAGTGTTACTTCACTGGATTATTGGAAATACTAGATTACATAGTAAGTATAAGGTATTGAAAACATCACCTGGTTTATGGCAAATACCGAATGGTAGTGATGGTAGTGGTAATTTTAGTAATACTATAATGGTGGTTTTAACCCACCAGACATTCCTTAGAAGGAAGGTTGGGCAGTCTGCTTTCGTAGAGATACCACCTCAGAAACCCAAGGAGGGGTTGCTATGAGTCAAATCGACTCAACGGCACTGAGTTTGTTTTTGGTATAGTGGTGGTTGGTTGCTGTGATCAACATCACCGTATGCTTCTACACTGTATTGTAAGATCTTTAGGGAATACCTCATGCCATTATCCATTGAGCTAATTTTTAATCTTTCAAGAGTTAAGCCAGAAATTCATGTTTCCCTATCTGAAACTTTTATAACAGCATTTCTTTACTACACTGGCCTTTGTACCTCCAGAAAGCTGTCCTCTTTTGGACTGTTTCTAGATCTGTTGAGAATATCTTGATAACTGCCAGTATTGCTAAACTTGCCACATAATTTTTGCCACAGTCATTTATTTACCTATATTCCTCAGCATATCTTATTTTTTCTGTGTCAGTTTTGTTGACTTAATACCTGTGGTCAGTGTTCTATACAACCCAGCTGCAGTTGTAAGGGCCACTCAAAAAACAAAAACCATACTCACTGCCATCGAGTCGATCCGACTCATAGCGACCCCTCCTTGGGTTTCCAAGGCAGTATCACTACAGAAGTAGGTTGCCCAATCTTCCTTCCAAGGAGTGGCTGGTGGGTTTGAACTGCCGGTGTTGTGGTTAGCAGTCAAATGCCTTAGGCACTATGCCACCAGAGCTCCCAGACTACGCCACCAGAGTGCCACTAGATGGCAGTAAAGAGCCAACAATATTTCAGCAAACATTTATACCTGTAAGCCAAACTTTTAGAGGCAGTCTAGATGGTTTCACCTCAGCTACGTGATTGTTTCTGTTGGATCACCTTTCTTTGGAATGGGCACAAATGTGACCTCTTCCAATTGACTGACCAGGTAGATCCATATTTCTTGGTATAGATGAGTAATTACTCGCAGTGTTGCATCTGTTTGTTGAAATATTTCAACTGGTATCCCATTCATTCCTGGAGCTTTGTTTTTCATGAATGCCTTCAGCGCAGCTTGGACTTCTTCCTTCAGTCCCACCAGTTCTTGATCATGTACTACCTCCTGAAATGGTTCAGCACCTAGCCAACTCTTTTTGGTACAGTGATTCTGTGTATTCCTTCCATCTTCTTTTGATGTTTCCCATGTTGTTTAATATTTTTCCCATAAAATCCTTCCATATTGCAATTCAAGGCTTGATTTTTTTTTTTTTTTTTTTACAGTTTTTTTTCAGTTTGAGAAATGCCAAGTGTGTTCTCTGCTTTTAGTTTTCTAACTCCAGGTCTTTGCAGATTTCATTATAATACTTTACTTTTTCTTCTCCACCCACTCTTCTAAATTTTCTGCTCAGTTCTTTTACTTCATCATTTCTTCCACTTGCTTTAGCTACTCTGTGTTCAAGAGCTGGAAGAGATCAATATTTGTGTCCATTCCAAAGAAAACTGATTCAATAGAAAATAGAAATTATCAAACAATATCATTAATATCACATGCAAGTAGAATTTTCCTGAAGATAATTCAAAAATGATTGTAGCAGTACATTGACAAGGAAGTACCAGAAATCCAAGCCACATTGAAAGAGGATGTGGAATGAGGGATATCATTGCTGATGTCAGATGGATTTTGGCTGAAGCAGAGAATACCAGAAAGATCTTTTCCTTTCTTTGAATATGCAAAGGCATTTGACAGTGTGGATCATAACAAATTATGGATAACATTGTGAATAATAGGAATTCCAGAACACTTAATTGTGCTCATGAGAAACCTGTACATAGACGAAGAGAAAGTCATTCAAATGGAACAAGGGGATACTGCATGGTTTATGATCAGGAAAGGTGTGCACTGGGGTTGTATCCATTCACCATGCATATTCAATTTGTGTTATGGATTGAATTATGTCCCCCCAGAATGTGTCAACTTGGTTAGGCCATGATTTTCCTTATGATGTAATTATCCTCCATTTTGTTATCTGATGTAATTATACTATGCATTGTAAATACTAAACTCTATCATGTTAATGAGGCAGGATACAATCTACAGGATTAGGTTGTATCTTGAGTCAATCTCTTTTGAGATGTAAAAGAGATCAAACAAGTTACCAGATATCTGAGGAACCTACTACCACCAAGTAAGAAGAGCTGTGAGCAGAGTGCATCCCTTGGATACAGGGACCTTTGCTGAGAACCTTCTAGACCCAGGGAAAGATTGATGCCAAGACACATGGAGATCTCCAAGGGACAGCAGACCCACAGACACTGAAAGGAGTCCAAGACCTTCCACTAGAGCTCACAGAAAGAAAGTTCTCCCACAGAACTGGCACTCTGAATTCAGACTTCTAACATCCTAAACTGTGGTAAAATAAATTTCTGTTTTTCAAAGCCATCCACCTGTGGTATTTCTGTTATAACAGCACTAAATAACTAAGACAGTCTGTATGCAACAACGCAACATACTGCCGTCGAGTCAGGTCCAACTCATAGCGACCCCTCCTTGGGTTTCTGAGGCAGTATCACTACGGAAGTAGATTGCCCAACCTTCCTGCCAAGGAGTGGCTGGTGGGTTTGAACTCTCAGCCTCTGGCTAGCAGTCAGATCCCTTAGGCACTATGCCACCGGAGCTCCTGACAATCTGTGTGCTGATCAAATAATCCAAGAACCTGGAATTTATGAAAAAGAATGTGGCATCAGGATTGTGGTATGTAGATGACATAACCTTGCTTGCTGAAAGTGAAGAGGACTTGAAGCACTTACTGATAAAGATCAAAGACTACAATATTTGGTATGGGTTACACCTCAACATAAAACAAAAATCCACACAGCTGGATGAATAACCAATATCATGATAAACAGAGAAAATATCGAAGTTGTCAAAGATTTCATTTTACTTGGATCCACAGTCGACACCCTTGGAAGCAGAAATCAAGAACTCAAATAATGTATTGTATTATCAAATCTGCTGTAATGACTTCTTTCAGGTGTTAAAAAGCAAATATATCACTTGGAGGACTAAAGTGTACCTGACGCAAGCCCTGGTATTTTCAATCACCTCATGTGCATGTGAGGGCTAGACAATAAATAAAGAAGACCAAAGAAGAGTTGATGCTTGTGAGTTGTGGTGTTGGCAAAGAATACTGAAAGTACCATGGACTGCCAAAAGAACTAACAAATCTGTCCTTGGAAGAAGTGCAGCCGGAATGCTCCTTGGAAGCGAGAATAGCCAGACTTCGTCTCACCTACTTTGGTCATGTTGTCAGAAGAGACCACTCCCTGGAGAAGATCATGCTTGTTAAAGTGGAGGGTCAATGAAAAAGGGGAAGGCCCTCAAGGAGATGGATTGACACAGTGGCTGCTACGATGGGCTCAGGTATAGCAAGGTGTGTGAGGCTGGCACAGGACCGGGCAGTGTTTCGTTCTGCTGTGCATTGGGTCACTATGAGTCAGAGGCAAATCAAGGGCACCTAACAACAACATGTGCGTGTGAAAACTGGACAGTGAATAAGGAAGACCAAAGAAGAATTGATACTTTTGAATTATGATGTTGGTGAAGAATATTAAATATACCATGGACTTCCAGAATGAACAAATCTATTTTGGAAGAAGTACAGGCAGAATGCTCCTTAGACGTGAGAATGGTGAGACTTCATCTTACATAGCTTGGACATGTTACCAGGTGAGACCAGTCCCTACAGGAGAACATCGTGCTTGGTGTAATTAAGGATCAGTGAAAAATAGGAAGACCCTTAAGGAGATCTGTGGCAGCAACAGACTCAAACATGACAACAATTGTGAGGATGGTGGAGGAGTGGGTGGTGTTTTTTCTGTTGTACATAGGGTCACTTTGAGTCAGAACTGACGCAACAGCACTTAACAACAACAGCATGGTTGAGGTGAAGACCACTTCTTTATTGTAAAAAATGACCAGCAGAGCGATAAAGAAAGAGCAAGAGCTCTGGGGTTAGGTGGACTGGGCTACAGAGCACAGTGGTAAGAATACGAGTTTAGGGGCCAGTCAGATAGGGTTCAAAAGCCAGCACTGCCACTTACTGTGAGCTCAGCTGTTTATACTCCTCTGAGCATCAGTTATGTCCTGACAAAACAGTAATAACTGGCACCCTCGACAAGCTCCTTAACCTCTGATTCTTCATCTAAAAGATGAGTATAATAATCATCTCTAACTCAGAATTTAGAGTGAATTAAGTGAAAAAATTAGTGTGAATGTTTAGCACAGAACCTGATATACATACGTACTCATAAATGTTAGTCTTATTATTACCTGAAGTTTTTATTCTTTACTAAGAAAGGTGTACTCTGTAAGAGGTATGTCCAGAGAAAAATAATTATACAGAAATGAGTTAAATCAGTCACCTACCAAAAATGCTTAACCTTTTCCATTGTACAGGGACATGTGGCTTATGTGTTAACTCAGGAAACTGATGAATATTTGCTTTGGAATCCACTAACTGGGCAATATCACAAGCAGTTTGATCCATTTTGTCCTTTACAAAGTGTAGACTGTTTGTTTGATGATGGAAATGTAAGTATATGGAAACAATTCTTATTTTGAGTTATCTCCTTAAGAGTCAAACCAGTGGTCTTTACCCTAGTTACACATTAAAAGCATCTGGAGAGCTTTGAAAAAAAAAAAAAAAGAATCCTAGGGATGGGGCCTGAGCAACCTTTTGTCTATAAAGCTCCCCAAGTGATTCTGTAGTGTGTCTAGAGCGGAGAACCAATGAACAGTCAGTCTAATGTTCACATAAGCCTGGGATCTCTTTACTTCTGCCTCAGAGCCTTCCTTGGTTTCTGCCACATTGTTGCACAGTGTTGTTGTTAGGTGTTGTTGAGTCGGTTTTTGGTTCATAGCAACCCAATGTAGAACTGCAACTCAGGGTTTTCTAGGCTGTAATCTTTAGGTCTTTCTATCCATGGAGCCACTGATGGGTTCAAACCACCCCCCTTTGGGTTAGCAGCCAGGTGCCTCGCCGTTGCACCACAAGGGCTCCTTTGTTGGATAGCAGGGCTGTAAAATGTCGTTCCATCCTCACCAGCAATGAGCTTTGTGCTTCCATGGCCCACACTGATTTTCTGTTGATGTTTTAATAGGTGTGGTTTAATATCCAGCAGAATAATACACCAATGGCTGTACATTTTGACTATTCAAAGGAAGGTTTCTGGAAACAGTTATTTCCAAAAAATTTTCAAGGGCCAAAAGCACAAAGCATACAGGTATGTCATATTCTCTGAAGTGTTCCTGAATGAGAGTTGCTGTTGATGTTGATCTTTATTTGTGTGAACTGCTCTTGTTGATTGTTGAATTCTTTGACAAGTGCTAATTAAAAAAACAAACAAACACTTTTCTCTGTCACCTAGCCCATATTTGGCCTAATCTGGTCACTTTCCCCTACCTGCAAAAAAGAGGAATTGAGAAGCTCTCGTCTCAAATATAAATTTAGATTGTAAAAATTGAATTTAAAAAAGTTTAACCATAAAACATAAAAATAAAATGTCAGAATGGTATAGTAAGTTCTTCTTTTGACCTAGCCCTTCTGTTCCATATCCATGACAATGATAAAATATAAAAACTGAGCCATGATAGTTTTCTCATAGAATAACACTAGCAGTGAGTAGGGCTGACACAATGGTGTCAAAAAAGTCTGAAAATGCTTCATAAAAATCAGAGAACTACATTTTGAAGCCCGAACTGGAATAAGACTCCTCAGCCCCCCTACTTTTTAAAGAAGACTAAAAAAAAATCTCCAAACTCACTGCCATGAGTCAAATCTGACTCATAGCAACCCCTCCTTGGCTTTCTGATCTCTACAGAAGTAGGTTGTCCAGTCTTCCTTTCTGGTTAACAGTCAAATGCATTAGGTGCTACGCCACCAGAGCTCTCAAAGAAACTAGGGTGGAGAGCTACAGGCTCACTGCTTGGGAGGCAGGAGGCGAAAGCACAGGTCTGAGATCAGAGACTGTTTAAATCGCCAGATGGCCGGGCTGGTGGATCTGTGAAGGACTCAGTGACCCCTCAAGAAGGCACCCCAAGTACCATTGCAACAGCTGTTTCTGGAGTGAGGGCCCTGGGATGCCAGGGTGAAGGAAATTGCAAAACCTATAAAGTAGGAGCTGGGAGCCCAGAGGGAGAGAGGAAGGGTGAAAGAGAGAGAACGAACAATAGAAAAATAGATGAAAGACAGTTTGTAGAAGCAGAAGCTCAAATGCTCAACCTCACTCATAAGCAAGGAAATACAATTTAAAACAATAAGACACTATTTAACATACATAAAATTGTCCAGAAAAAAAAGTATTGGCCTCATACAAAGTGCTGGCAAAAATGTAGCGAAATGATAGGGAGTGTAAATTGCTTTGTATGCTTTGGAAAGCAATATGACAGTATTTTATAAAGTTGATGATGCTCAAACATCCACATACGTACAGGGAAACTAGTACAGCAGTGTTCATTATAAAATTGCTTGAAATAGAAAACCATTGGAAACGACTGATGGGCTGTAGTCATACAATGAAATCCTCTATACCAAGTGAAAAGTGTATGCTTGTGTATGCATGCACATAAACACAAAAACCTGGATCCCACCAGCTGAAAGAAATGGAATACTCAATCGAAGAAGGAAGGTGATAAGCCATGTTATAAGAGTAATTATAATAACACCCATGTTTACTGAGCAGTCACTATGTGCCAGACATTATGTGTTATTACTTATTTCAAAACCTTCCTAAGATGCCAGTGAAGTAGGCACTGTTATTGCCCCTATGATAATATAAAGTAACCGAGACTTTGAGAGGTTAAGCAACTTAGCCTAGGTCCCACATTCTGTAAGTGGAAGAAACTAGTGCTGCTGTCAAGATAATGCAGTGGAATCCATAAATAAGGCAAATGCTTGTTTGACTAAATTAATCAGAGCAGCAAATCCAACTTACTCATGAAAAATACCTCCTTTCATAAATCCTTTCTGTCTCCCATGGCCTGGATAAGGAGTACAGAGTCAAAGGAAACACTGTGATTTATGTTTTCTTTATGAGATTGAGTGTTTTTGCCAGTCATTATAACTAACATAGGAGCTCTGGTGGTGTCATGCCTAAGGCACTTGACTGCTAACCAGAAGACTGGCAGTTCAAACCCACCAGCCACTCATTGGAAGGAAGGTTGGGCAATCTACTTCCGTAGTGATACTGCCTTGGAAACCCAAGGAGGGGTCGCTATGAGTTGGATCTGACTCAACAGCAGTGAGTTTGTTTTTTTTCTTGGCTTATAACTAACATGCCAGGGGTGAATGTGGCATAAGGATGGTCTCCCAAAAAATCTTTCCTAAATTTCTGTTGTCTATATTTCAGCCTAAAGAAATAATTTATTCAGATACTAATAAAAGCATGGTAGAAGACTTAAGGAACAGGTATGATCTTTATTTATATATTATAATCACCATATTATCCCCCTAATCTCTCCTTCAGCCTTGAAACATACCTGTTAGATTCAGCAACAGGAGCAAGCAAAGGGAGTTCTAATAATAGGTTCCGTTGAATCACCCATCTGTCTCTTGGTACATACACTAAAAAGTGGCCCCTCTGTCATCCAAGGCTCTCCTTGGAAGAACAGTGTAAGTTAAAAATGTTTGCCTCTGAAAACATTGTGGTCCACTTAGGAAAGATTTCTGTTGAACATATAGTAATAATGATGATGAAGTAGTTAACATTTTTTGAAAGGATGTAACAGTAAATGGCCCACAACTCAGAGTGTGGTTGTGGTAGTAAAGGTTGTATGTCAACTTGGCTGGGCTGTGGGTTTGAGTGGCTGGGCAGCTGAATGTAGTTATTCCTCATAATGCAATTGGTAATCAACTCCATGATGGGATCTGCTGTGAGCAGCTAAGTAGCTGCCTTTGGGGTATGACCTTCTTCCAGTATATAAGGAGAAGCTTTGAAAATGGGCCTAGCTTTTGGCACATCTGGATCCTGCCTTTGGCTGAGTCTTCATCTCAGTGGCCTGCCATGCTGCCTGTCAATCTTGGGATTGTTTCTGGTGTTGAACTCGTGGTCTGCCGTATTGCCTGTTAACTTGGGACTTTGCCATTTTACTTGTCGATCTTGGGTCCGTCAGCCTCAGCAGCCAGCAACTGCATGAGCCAGAAAAAGCCTCCAGCTGTGGTAGGCCTGAAACAGTAGGCAGAGCTGAAGCCCAAGGTAGAAGGGCCTTCACCCATCCCCTAGAGTCGGCACTTTGAACTTGGAATTCTAGCCTCCTAAACTGTGAGAGAATAAATTCCTGTTTGTTCGAGCCATCCATTTGTGGTATGTCTACGATAGCATCATTAGAGAACCAAGACAATGGTTCAGAAAAAAAAAAAATTGGGTGGTGGAGATATAATTTCTGACAAACACACAAACACATACACACACATGCCCTAAGGAAGTGTTCAGTCAAACCCAAAAGGATATAGGCTTTGCAGCAGGCCTCATTCCTATTCCAGATTAGTCCAGATTCTAGATATGGCTGCCCCCTGTGACTCACCCTTACACAGCAGGCTGGCATTTAAGACCTAATAAATCAAAACAGCACAACAAAAATCATTTTGCCACTTCCTTCTCTCACTGAGGAGCTCTGGTGGCATAGTGGTTAAAACATTTGGCTGCTAACTGAAAGATCAGTGGTTCTAACTCACCAGCTGCTCTGCAAGAGAAAGATGAAGCAGTCTGCTTCTGTAAAGTTTTACAGTCCTGAACCCTATGAGGTAGTTTTACTCTGTCCTAAAGAGTTGCTATGGGTCAGATTGACTCAATGGCAGTGGGTTTTTTGTTTCTTTTACTAGAACAGAAGTTCCCTCCCCTACCACTTTCATTCCTCTTCCTCACCAGTTAAAAAAAAAAAAAAAGGAAAAATAAGTGATTCTTAATTTTGAGTTTTTGTCAGAATTGCTTTTGAAACTTTTTAAAATACAAGTACCAAGGCCCTAGACCAGACATATTGAATCAATATCTGAAAACATTTGATAAAACCCTGTAGGTAATTCTGATACATGACCATTACTGAGACTTTTTGCAAGTCTCAAGCCGGTAGTTGCATTATGAACTCACTTAAGAGGAAACTCCTAGTGTGTCCTTCTGCAGACCATTCTGGGTAAGAGAATCAGTCACACCCAATCATCCTGTGTAGGGAAGCTTCCCAGGGAGGCCCCATCAACCACCCCATGCTGTGGCACCCTTCTCTCCCCTTCCCAGCACAATTCATCAGTAGGCACATCGTTCCAGGGACTGTGTATACAGGTGAGAATCCCTGTCTCTTAGAGCTTGCATTCTAGTAGGAGGAGCCTAATCAACTTACTTATCAGCCTGGTGCCTCAATCCCTCCCAATTCTGTTTGCTGAATTAGCTGATCTAATAAACTAATTCCTGCTGTCATCATCCCAGGTTAGATAGCTGAATCTTTATAAAGGCAATTTCTTAGAAACACAATGCCCTATGAAAGTCTTGAAGAGTAGGAATGTCAACCCAGTATTAAGTCAATCCACCACCACCACCAGTTGCTGTCAAGTCAGTTCTAACTCATGCTGACCCCATGTGTGTCAGAGTAGAGCTATGCTCTGTAGGTTTTTCGATAGCTGATTTTTCAGAAGTAGCTTGCCAATCTTTCTTCCAGGGTGCCTATGAATGGACTTGAACTTCAAAGCTTTCACTTAGCAGTAAAGTGCAATAACCATTTGCACATCCAGGGATTCAAATAACTTAGTAAGTGTTCTTAAATTGTACCAAGAAGGCAGCTGCCCGTACACAGGTAACTGAGGGCTAATTGTGGCTGCCCAGAGAAGCTTCTCGTCTTCTCAAGTCAAGCAAGAAACTGCTTCTCCCTGACTTGATGAATGCAGATAATGACAGACTCACCTAGCTATAGGGGTCTGGTTTCTTGCTAATTCCAAAAAGTATCATTCTCATACTTCAATAAAAGTCACAAAGCTCTTATTACATTTTTAATTTGTCAGAAATAATCTTTGCATTCTTACTCCAGAATTGAAAGATCTCTAAAGTGTAAAATGATGGAATGGCGACCTAAACAGCCAACACGTTGGAATCGACAATGTACTTCTATTTTGCGACAAATCCTTCCTAAGCTGGAACCTGGAACAGGAAGCTTTGTTTCATTTGAAGAAGAGAGTGAATTTGAAAGACTGCTACAATTTTATTGGGTTTGTATATGATTAGCTTTGCACTGATGACATTCATTTTATCTGTATTGTTAATTACCATCTAATGTAATAATAGTTACAATCTTAAATAGCCCTAAAATGTTTATAGGTATTTTGGTATTAAAATGTGTTTACTTATAGACCAAAGAATTTTAAATGTAGTGAACAACTATTCCAAGGACCACATTGCATGACATTTTCTTGAAACCAATCATGCTTTGTGATGAGTGAACTACAGACTTTGGTTAGAGATGTCCAGAAAGAAACTACCCTGCAACTAAGAAACCATGAAATGATATGTGGATGGTAGTGATAGATTGGATTCACTGTCCTTGGTTCTGGATAAGAGGACTCCAAACAAGCTTTAATATGTTCTCTATGCTAATTACTCCCAAATTTAAATATCCAGCCCAGACCTGTCTTCTAACCTCCAATCTTACACATTCACTTGCCCATTTGACATCTTCTTGGGTAATTAAAAGACAATTCAAACTCAACAAGTCCATAACCACATGTGGTGGGCATTTAGTATATTGTTGGGGTCCTCCTTTCCTTCCTGTACCCCCAACCCCAATTCTGGGTATCCTCTCCTCTTCTCCTCCCTGTGAGGCCTCAGCCTTCCAAGAATGAGACTTCTTCCTTCTATCAGTCAATAGACTAGAAGTTGTCACTGAGGGCAACCCCTGGAAGAAGGCAGGATCTGCTGGGAGTTGAGAGACTGCCAATATCAGTCCTTAGGCTCCCAAAAAAGTATCTGCAGGCACTACTCTTCATGAATGAACAGAGGAAGTTATTTTGTTTTTGCTTGATTTTATTTTCAGTGTAATTAGAGGTAAAGAGATAAGCAAAGCATAGTTAGATGCTAAGGTTTAAAATTTGTAGCTTCTACATAAATTTATCTATTTCATAATACAGTTTAATAATACACAGTTGACAATCGTAAACCTGGACTGAATCCTAAACTCTGGATTCAAATCCTGACTCAACCACTTACTGGCTTTCACCTGTGGCAATACTTCTACCCCATCCAATAAACAAGGATAAAATTAGTTATCTGTTTTGACACTGTGGTGAGGATTAACTAAGTTAGTACTTAAAATAATACCCAGCACTTGTTGTTGTTGTGTGCCATCGAGTTGGACTTGACTCATGACGACCCCTCCTTGGGTTTCCGAGGGAAAATCACTACAGAAGTAGATTGCCCAACCTTCCTTCCGAGGAGTGGCTGGTGGGTTTCAACCGCTAGCCTCTGGTTAGCAATAAAGTGCCTTAGGCACTACACTACCAGAGCTCCTATCCAGCACTTGTTGTTGTTGTTATTTGCCATCGAGTCGGCCCCGACTCCTAGCGACCCCTCCTTGGGTTTCCGAGGCAGTTATCACTATGGAAGTAGGATTGCCCAACCTTTATAAATATTGACTATTATTATTAATATATGTGCTGGGCATTGCACTGGGCACTGGGGTTATTGCAGTGAATGAGACAGATACCATCCCTACATTCACAAAGATTGTGGGCTATTTAGACAGACAACAAAACAGGTAATTGCAATATGGTTTGTTAAGTGAGTACTTTACTAGAGTACAGTGTACTATGGGATAACATGATAAGACCTTGTGAATGTCAACAGATTTAGGGCCAGGAAAAGCCTCCTGAAGTAAGTAATCTAAGACTTGAAATAGGTTATGATTATCAAGTATACATTATTTAGTAGATAATTTGGCATGGGACCATATTCCACAATTCTTTAATCCCATCATGTAGTAGTCATTTAATAAATATACGTTGAATCAGCATTTAAAAAGTTCTTCCAAACTTCTCACTTAAATTCCTCATTTTCAGGAAAATGTAATTTCCTTGTAGGTAACTTACTATTCTAGAAACAGTGTAAGTATATGGAATGTTGTGTGCAGGCTCTGGCATCAGGCAGACCTGACTCTGCTCTTCTCTATTCAAAGTAGGGATAAAACAGAACCTCTTTTATAGGGTTGCTTGAGGATTAAATATGTCTGTGAAGCATTTAGCACTGTACCTGGAACATAGTAAGTGCTCACAAAATGCTATTATTACTTTATGATGACCACTTCTTTGAGGCTGCTGTGATCTTACATGCTGTTATTCCAGGTTCACCTTCATAACTGTCACATGGGTTTGTTTGTTGTTCTGTCTTTGCTCCAGGTGGCAGGATTTCCCATCCAGATGCCATACACTGATGTCCAGTCAGTTATTGATGCTGTGTACCAAACTGGAATTCACTCTTCTGATGTTCCCCAGACAGAATTTGCTCTAGCTGTATACATTCACCCATACCCAAACAACATATTATCTGTTTGGGTCTATTTGGCTTCCTTAGCCCGACATCAGTGACAAAAGAAGAGAAAATGGAAGAATTGTATTTTGGGTCCTTGGATCTGAAGCAGCCAACACTCTTCTGATACTTTGGGATTTTGCTGCGTATCCTCAAGTCCAGCCAAGTGCTGAGCCCGGTTATCAGTCCACTTCTAGAGTTGTGCACCATGGAGACTCATCTTGGATCTTTGAAGACAGTCTAGATGACCTCCTCACCAGAGACCTCCTCAAAAGAGGACCTTTAGGGCAGTCTGGCTGCCTTCAGTCACTGTCTACATGTCTTATTCTGGGAAAGAAACACCTCTGGCCTTTCCACCTAAGACCAGTGTTCCTCAAATTGTGGGCCTCACACCACCCTGACCACAATCACCTGGGGAGCCTTGATGAAAACATAGATGCACCAAGAGTGACTGAATCAGAAACACTGGGGTGGAATCCAGAACCTGCGTTATTTTCAGTGTGCTCCCAGGTCATTCTGATGCACTGTAAGATCCCTGCCTTGTGGAATATGTCATTACTAAAGCAAGGCTGGTATGTTTGATGCTGGTTCTGATGCAGTGCCAGACAGAAGACACTCAGATGGAAGCCAACAGTCATTGCCTCTCATAAGATAAAACTTTATTTCACAAGGAAAGAAAAAAGGAAAATCTACCATGTTGGGCTGAGGGCTAAGGTGGGCTTCTGAGGGGGTTCTCAAAAGTTTGTACTTAAGTTGTTACTGACATGTAGTCCTTCCAGCTGCTGCGAGTATTTGGAAGAGACTGGATGAGGAAACTATCAAATCTAATCTTTTCTCTTGATCCTGTGGTCCCGGCTCCTGGCTCCTCCTTTCCTGGACGAATGCCTCCCACTTAGCATCTGGCAATTGTCTACGGCTTTTCTTTCACAGTGGCAGTGCCAAGGAGGCCCACTGAGACCCTGAGAATCCCTCAAGAAAGGTGGACATAGATCCACTGCACTTCCTTGTATGTGACTGTTCTGGGCTTCATTGTGAAAAGTATGTATATACTTAAATGTTAAATAAAACATCATTGACAAAATAATCAAGAGAGAAGTATTTCCAAAAGTTGATCAGAGGAGTTTTATATGACCAAACCAAACTCATTGCCATCAAGTTGAATCTGACTCATAGCGACCCCTCCTTGGTTTTCTGAAGCAGTTTCACTACGGAAGTAGATTGCCCAACCTTCCTTCTGAGGAGTGGCTGGTGGGTTTGAACCACCAGCCTTCTGGTGAGCAGTCAAATGCCGTAGGCACTGCACCACTGGAGCTCCCAGTTTTATAGGAGGTGAAGGTAAAAGAAAGAAAATTCATTTTTCCCATTGCAGGAGCCCTGAGGCTCCTTGGGTCATTTTCCCATCAAGAGGGAAAAAGGAAGAATCCCCCAAACTTTATTCCCTCCCAAATGCCCCCAGTATGGGCTGTTGTTGTTGTTATGTGCCCTCGAGTCAGATCCGACTCATAGTGACCCCTCCTTGGGTTTCCGGGGTACTATCACTATGGAAGTAGATTACCCAACCTTCCTGCTGAGGAGTGGCTGGTGGGTTTGAAGTGCCAGCCTTGTGGTTAGCAGTCAAATGCCTTAGGCACTATGCCACCAGAGCTCCCTCTCATTTATTTACAGCAATGTTAATCTTAAACCAGCTTGAGGTTACTTTATAATGAATAGAGATTTATGGGGCGTATTTGGGCTTCTTTCCCTACAGAAGACTTTACATGTGTGTGGCAAGATCGAGGAACCTAAAATGTTAAAGTCAAAAGGAATCTCAGTCATAATCCACTTCATTTTATAGATATTGAACGTGAAGCCTAGAGGAGGGAAATGACCTCCCAAAGTCCACTCTACTAGGGAGCAATAAAGCAAGAACCTAGGCCAGAGTCCAGGCCTTCTGGCTCCCAGGCCATTCACTGCATCCAGTGGAATAAAATGCAGCCATTGGAAGAAATCTTGCATGTTTTATAATGGAACAATCACTAGCATATTCTGTATGACAAAAGCTTTGAAGAACAGAGCATGTAAAGTGCTACCACTTGAGCACGAAGTACTACAAGGGGTTATGTATATGTACAGTTAAATATACCTAGATATCTCTGAAAAGAATAGTGAGAAAACTAATAGTGTTACTCTGGGAACAGCTGGGGATATGGAAGTCTTGCTTGCTAGTCACTGTATTCAGTCTTGTGCTTGAATATTTTACTTTCGTATGCATTCACTGAAAAAATTTAAATAACTTTAAAATCAGTAGCTGTCCACTGTGAGTTATAAACCTTTTCCAAAGAATTTGCTCCCAGCCTCCTGTCTTGCCAAACCCACCTGTGCCTTACACTGCAGTTTCCACACTCTGCTCATGATCCCGATTTTCTGCTATTTTTCCATCCACTCTTTTATACCTTCACTAACCACTGATTCCTTCACTTGAAATGTCTTTCCTATCTTCACTTCAGTGCAGCCACACACTTGCTTTTTTGTTCATTCTGAACCTTAGAGCCTTTGCATTTTCTGTTCCCTCTGCCTGGAATGCTCAGACCCAAGATATCTGCAGGCTCCCTCAACTTCCCTCGGGCCTTTTAACTTTAACTTACTGAGCGGCTACCCCTGATCATCCTACATAAAACAATGGCTGCCCCCTGTTACTTTCTATAGCCTTGTTTGTTTTTCTTCATAGAGCTTGTCACCACATGGCACGTTTTGTTGTTGTTACTGCTGTTCACTTACTATGTTCTACTCTTCCTGGTAAAATATAAACTCAGTAAGAGCACGGACTTAAGGTTTCTGTCTGTTTTTTAAGAATTAAGCAAACTTCCATAGTGATAATTGCCTCGGAAACCCAAGGAGGGGTCTCTATGAGTCGGGTCCGACTCTACGGCACATAACAACAACAACAACTTTAAGAATAAAGAAATAGTAATGAATTTGAATTTAATCTAACACACACTCATAGTGGCCCTATAGGACAGAGGGTAGAACTTCCCCAAGGCTGTAATCTTTGTGGGAACAGATTGCCACATCTCACCAGCACAGCGACTGGGGGGCGGGGGTTCAAACCACAGCTTTCCAGTGAGCAGCTGAGTCTGAATCACTGTGCTACCTTCATATGAGGCAAATCCAGAAAATGAGGAGAGTGATTTCAGCGTGATCACCCAGTGAATAAAATCTTCAAAGCAGACACTGTGAGAGACAACCAACTATTACACTGATGATAGTAGTCTGTGACCTGTTTTCCTGAAAAGAGTTCTTAAATAGGCCTTGAACATTTTAAGTTGTTGGGAAGCTAAATTATTGTCATCAAGTTGTTCAGTGTACATGAATGGAAACCAGAGAAGGTAGATTCTACTTAAATATCGTTATAAATGGTACTGAACTTTTAGCCTATGTGTCCAGCTCCTCTCCAGGGAACTCCTGCAACTGAGGACCCCCCCCCCCAGGTTAGCCTTTCCCTGGACAAGCCTGGGCTCCACCAACTTCTGCCTCTGAGTGTCCCTCTTTCTGCCATTTGATCCCATAGCTCTAGATTCTGGCAGAAGCATTATCTATAGATGAACTAGGAGCTCTGGTGGTGTAGTGGTGAGGGCATTTGACTGCTAACTGAAAGGTTGGTGGTTTGAATCCACCAGCTGCTCTGCAGAAGAATGATACAGTCTGTTTCCATAAAGATTTACAGTCTTAGAAACCTAATGGGGGTTGCTATGAATCAGAACTGACTTCATGGCAGTGAGTTTGTTTTTTGTGGTTTAATATAGGTGAACTAAGGAGCCTTGGTAGCACAATGGTTGGTAGTCAGCTGCTATCTGAGAGGCTGGCAGTAAAAACCCACCAGCCATGCCACAGCAGAAAGATGCAGCAGTCTGTTTCCATGTTGTTATTGTTAGGTGCCATTTAGTTGGTTTCAATTCATAGCCAACTCCTGTGTACAACAGAACAAAATGAATGCCTGCGCCTGCATCTTCCTCACAATCGTTACTGTTCTCGAGCCCACTATTGGAGCCACTGTGTCTCCATCTTGTTGAGGGTCTTCCCCTTTTACCCAGCATGATATCCTTCTCTAGGGATTGGTCTCTTCTAACAATATGACCAAAGTACAAGATTCCTAAAGATTATAGCCTTGGAAAGACTATGGGGGCCATTCTGCCCTGTCCTACAGGATCCCTATGAGTCAGAATGGACTCAGTGGCACACAACAACAACATAGATGGACTATGGCTCACATATATACCTCCTGCCACTTTTCAAATGTATGGAGAGATCATTGTGATAACTGAAACTCATGTAATATGTATTTCTCATTTTGTTGTTGAGGGTCATTGAGTCGATTCCAACTCATGGTGACCTACTAGTACTGGTTAGAACTGCCCCTGTGATTTTGACAGAAGCAGACTACCACATCTTTCTCCCACAGAGCGGCTGGTGGGTGGAACCACCACCACTCTCTCCATAACCTTTTGGTTAGCCGCCGAGCACTCAGCCACTGTGCCACCAAGGCCCCTTTCTCTCACTTTATAGTAGCTCTTCACCATCATGCCTCTTTTGGGACAAAGGATTCTAAGTAACAGAGTCTGGGGTTCCAAGAGTTTTAATTATTACAAAGAGGTTGATTTACATTCTCAGAAATGTGAGGATCACTGTCGTAGGCTGAACTTTCTGTTGTGACACTCCACCAAACAGGTTAAAATACAACTGATTAGGTTTCACTAATTAACCAAATCCATTGCCTTTCAGTTGATTCAGACTCATGGAGACCCTATGTGTTATGGAGTGGAACTGCTCCATAGAGTTGTCTTGGCTGTAGTAACTTTTATGGAGGGAACCCTGGTGGGGCAGTGGTTCAGCACAAGGCTGCTTAACCACCGGGTTAGAACTCATCAATGCTCTGCAAGAAAGATGTTGCAGTCTGCTTCCTAAAGATTCATAGCCTCTCGGAAACCCTATGGGACAACTCTACCTTGGAAACCCTGTGGGGCAGTTCCACTATGAGTTGGAATCGACTCCTTGGTAATGGGTTTGGTTTGGAATCATTACTGAAGTAATTCACCGGGCCTTTACTAGCTGCCCTGGGTGGGTTCCAACCGCCAATCTGTATGTTAGCAGCAGATCACAGACCACTTGCGCCATCCAGGGACCTCTGATTTACTATCACAGATGATTAATTACAACCGCTATGAATTTGACAAGCTAGATCACTAAAAGTATCAATACTCTTCCTTCAAAGCTTTTGGAACTCTCTAAAGCTACAGGAATAAGGAAAAGGAAGAGAAAATTGTTTCTCTAGGAGGTGTGAGTTTTGAGAACTTAAAGGGACAGCAGAATTTCCAGAGAAAGTATGTTAGGAGTTGCGGGGCTGGAAAGGGCAAAAGCACATTTGGAGTAACCATCCCACTGAGGAGCCCAAGGGTGCATGGGGCTGTTGCAATATGAGAGAAGGCAGGTTAGATCCACGGGCTGTGAAGGATTCTAAATGTCAAGCCCAGGCATTGGAATTTTCTTCCGCGGGCACCGGGGAGCCATCGAAGGTTCTCAGCAGGTGAGTGTCATGACCGGATTGGCCACCGGAATAATTAACATTATTTCTCCGGGACTCTTCCGATCTCAGTCCGCCCTCCGACCGGCCTCGCGGTAGGTGGCGGGGCTCTCCGTTGACGGGAAGCTCTGGGCCCGCAAGAGCAAACTCAGAGATGCGACCAGGCACTAGGCTACCGCAGAGCGGATGCCGAGCACTGCACCTAAACCAGGCCCGACTGCCGATTGGACGGCTCAGGGTGGTGGTGGTGGTGGGGGGGTGACCCTGTTGTATCGCGAGACGAGATTGGCAGCGGCCGGGCCGCATGTGCCCCCGCGCTGGCTTTGTACGCGGAGCCGCCTGCCGGTCTTTTAACAATGGGCGGCTCGAGCGCCCAGGCGCTGGGCCGGAGCTGAGGCCGGCGCTTCGCGGCCGACTGTCCGCAGCATGCGCGGGGCCGGCGCTCCCGACACGCCGGCGGGGCTGGGGCTGTGAGGGCCGCGGTTCCGGGTAAGGGAGGCGGCCGTGGGAACGGGCAGCCAGGCAGGGCGGGGCTGGGCGCGGGGATTGCACCCGTTTGGGGTGAGGCGCGGACCCTGGCCGGCCCGGCCTTTTGTTCGCCTCTCTGGGGCCGCGCGAGCCAGTGCTTTCCCCAGGACGTGGAGGCGGCGGTCTCGGTGCGCGCTGGGCCCAACCGGGCCGCAAGGAGGCTGCCGAGGAAGAGCGAGCGCCCGATGGTTTGCAGCGGGCACCGGGAGCCTGGCGACCTTCGCCTCCGGTGTTCTCAGTGGAGCTTTCCACCGCAGAGGGGCTGTGACTAGTGTCAAGTGTGCCGGTTTCTCAGGGAATTCGAACCCAGGACGCAGATGCCCGAAGCGTTCCCGAGCATGCACCCAGGTCCGCGCCTTGGGAACTCGGAGCCCAAGTTGGCTCTTTTTGCCCAACACTCGGTTCGGTAGTTCTCAAAATAAATCCGCTCCTCCTAAGTGGGTAGATCGGGCCTTACGTGTGGTTTTAGAGAATTGGTTCGGGTCGGTGCTAGTTTTCGGACGAGTCAGGTGAGGATGAAGAGCTCACACAGGGTGGCCTGAAGTCTCATCCCTCCGAGAGGGACCTCTGAGGGTCGTGGTAGTAGGAGCTGGCAGTGACCGCGTCTGGGTGTGTCTTCCAGACTGAAACCGCCGCGTCTGGTTCGGCGCGCCGCCTGGGCCCATGGAGCTGGAGAGGCAGTGGTGGCGAGGACAGCTGGCCGCCGATATTCATCAAGCGCTTCGGTATAAGGTAACCCCGAGGCCCGACCTTCCCGTTGGGTGTCTTGTGCCAGTTACGAATTCTGGTTGCCTGGGAAGCTAAATCAAGTTCTTTACCCACTAGCTTCCAGGCCAGAAAAACTTGAGTTTGCTTATTTGCTCAAGGTTAATTAACTTCTTGGCTCCTTTCCTGTGATGTATCAGAAGAACCTGCAACTAAAACGAGGTGGGGGGGGGGCGTGGTAGTTTGGGAGGAAAGGTGAGATGGGACATTCAGATATTGTTTCCAGGTGGAACATGGATTTGCTCTTGAATTAAAAAGATATCCAAGGCGGCTTTTTATTGGGGCAGAGCAGCCTACCTTTTCCTATGGTTGCTGTTGCATGCGGTTAAGTTGTATTTGTACAAAATAAATTCCCCAGCCTGCCCACTAATTTAGGACAAGTTATTTGATTTTCTGTTTCCCTATGTCCTCATCTGTAAAATGAGGACTAATGATCATAATAGACTTTACAGGGGGTGATTGTGAAGATTGAGTTAGTATTATACATGCGAAGTGCTTACAGCAGTGCTTGGCATATAGTAAGCACCAGGCAAGTGATAGCTGTGATTATTCCTTACCCCTGTTCCCTCAAGATTTGGGGCTGTTCAGAAAAGGCCTTAAGGTGGAAGAAACATGAGCTTCAATTCCTGCTAATAACAGATTCTTCAGAAAGGCAAAAGATAGATCTAGAATACTTCAGGTATTTGGGGAAAAAAATTTCACTTTTCCTGCACAATTGAAAGTCTGTAGTGCCACACATAAGTAACGATTTTATTGAGTATATTAGATGTTGGCTTCTGCCTCATAACCAGAAGTGAGACCAATTCCAAAGTGATCTCTAGTTTGGACCCTGGTTAGAAAGAGCCATTCGTTAAGTTTAGAAGATAAGAAAGAAGCAAATAGTTGACTCTGTTTATAAAGAGGATGCTGATTCTTGGAGTTGAGAGATCCTGGGATGATAATGAAGTTGTATCTGGAGTATCTGATCAGGTTGACTATATTGGAAAATCAAATCCTGACTTAAATTGTTGACTTTGCACCCTTTTCCAAGCCTTGAGATTTCTAAATGCTATTTATTTACTCAAACATTCTGTCTCTTAGACACATCTCAGCCCCTAAGAGATTGTTTGCACCACATACAAGTCACAACTGTGGATTGTGTAACTGGAATGTTAGGAATAGAGCTACAGGTCTTCCACTTTGAAAACTGTCCAGATACCCTTTTGATATATTTTGCAGGTGTCATATTTCAATTTGAAATATTCTTCTTTTCTAAGTATCAGCTCTTTATCACTCTGGCGCGTGGTGTAATTAAGTATTTGATGTTAACGATACATAATTTTTGAATTGACATGAAATTTAAAATACTTTTATTGATGTTTGTGATTTTTGATACTTAAATATTATGTGTAGAAATTTTAATCCTGAGTGATGATCTGAATCAGTTTGTAAGTTGAATTTGGGGGCAGTTTTTTTTTTTTTTTCACTCAATAGATTTGTTGAATGAATGCTTTTATATGTTAGACTCTGTAGGAGACAAGGAATAAGACACAACCCTGCACTCAGCTTGGTTAAGACCTAGCACAGGACAAGATAGTATAGAGTCTGACGGAATGCCACTGAAAATTGTCTTGGGCCGCTTGTAGCATGTGACATTGGGTTGTTTTTATTTGATCTGTAAGCATTGTATTGGCCACATTTCTTGTGATTTGACATTTATGTTATTAAAACTTGAACCTATGGAACTGGAGAGACCACTGTTTGTAATACACTGAAGTTAAGGAAACTTAAAATGATGTTTTCTCATGGAAAAAATATGGTAATCCTAGGCTTTTAACTAGGTGATTTAGTTAGGTATCATGTGCTTTATTTATTCAGCATATTTGAGTGCCTACTGTCTACAAAGCACTGGGCCAGGTGTTAGAGCAGTAACAGTGAATGAGACAGGCATGATTCAGAGCATGTGAGTTTAGGTCGACCTTGGGGCAGTTGTCAGCTGGATCACTACAGAAGGTATTCCGTGTTCAGACCCAGCATTTATCGGGAGAAAATTGGGGTGACCTCATTGTACCTACTAGGGAAGCGTAAAAATTACAGTGAATACAAATCCTCTTCAACCCAGAATGCCAACTGTATTGTTTTTATAAACCATAGTAACCAAACCAAGCAAACCTACAAAATTGTTGTACCCTTACACCATTATCTCCTCTTTCTTCTCATCATTTTGTGGGATGTTGGAGGAAAGTATTTTGGGGAACCTTTATAACTGATGAGAATAATTCTAGCTTTCTGGGAAACATTAAGGAAGTACTTATCCCACAGAGTTATGCCTATGAATATTCCTTGCATGCCTGCATTTCCAGCCTGGTTGAACATTAACCCATTTCCTGGAAGGGGCTGGCATTTGAAGTATTGAGCTGAGAAGTACTTGTGATGAGATGGAGATGACATTCAGGTCTCTCTGTGCTTTTGTCCTATGGAATCCTGAGAAACAGATGGGGGAAAAATAATGTTCAATTCTAGGGATTGGAAATAGCAGAAGAAACTTGTAAACTGAGTGAAACAAGTCATCGTCCCGTGCCCTTATAACTTACACACCTTGACAAAGATAACGAAATCTGATGGCTAGCCCTTAAGTACTTGGTCAGATTAACAGTTGCTACAATCTTTTGTAGAGAAAATAGGTAATATAGATAATTTTACCATTTAAAAAGATAAAAAGAGAATGCATTAGACACACTGTTAAAAATCTAGGGATGACCCTGAAAGTTTGTGTCTTTATTTTCCATGTCTTCATTTAGTAAGTTAACATATTTTAAAATACAGTCAGTCCTCTTAGTGTTTTTCAGTTTTTCCCAATGAGCTTTTAAGACCTTCAGGCTTCTCATCCAGAAATCTTACCCTGGCTTTTTTCCCCCCAACACCCTAAGCCCCTGAGCTGGGTTAGATCTCCTCCTGAGTGGTCCCACAATACTTTGTGATTGCTGTATTCTAATCATCTCTGTACTTTGGTTCACCTGTTAGAGACAGGATTGAGACCAGAAACTGTTGGTATAGCTTTTCTCTCTGGGATTAGCACAATGCCTGCTACATGGTGGATGATCAGTAAATGTCAGATGGGAACATTGAAGAAAAATAAAGTTTGAACTTGTAACTCATCTGCTTCGTGGCAAAGGAGAGAAGAGAAGTCCCAAGGGTATATATGAGAAATCAGCATGTTTCTGATGTTTGGAGAAATAGCTATCAAAGAGCCTTTTAGTGTTTTGCCTCCAAGTGAGATGCTGTCCTCTTACGTCTGAGATCCTTTTACTTTCTTCCTTCACTTCCTCATTTCCATCATCAAAGAAGTGTGTATCTGTTGATATTTCTCCCAGGGTTACCTCTTTTGGCATCTCTCAAGATGATTGTGCATATCTATGTATAAATTGGGAGCTCTGGTAGCATAGTGCCTAAGGCACTTGACTGCTAACCAGAAGGCTGCAGGTTCAAACCACCAGCCACTCCTCAGAAGGAAGGTTGGGCAATCTACTTCCATAGTGATACTGTCTCAGAAACCCAAGGAAGGGTCGCTGTGAGTCGGGTCCGACTCGATGGCACATAACAACAACAACAACAACAATTGGGTTTAATATTAGTGTCAATGCTGATCTCATAAAATGAGTTTAGAAGCTTTCTGTCTTTATACTCTGGAAATTTTTTAATAGTAGACTTTTTACTTTAAAAAAAAAATGAACTCATCTAATGTAGTTACAAAATTGAACACTGATGGGAAAAATTTTAGGTGTGTGAAAGAATGATGGAAAAGGAGAGATCATAAAACTTCGGAAAGGGAGACATGATTAGAAGATACTAATGGAGGAATCTTCAGTATGGATTACACTGCAACGTAAATTAAAGAAGAAACAATCCTCCCAATTAGAGCAATAGTCAATATCACGATAAACGGAGAAAAGGTTGAAGTTGTCAAGGATTTCATTTTATTAGAATCCACAATCAATGCCACTGGAAGCAGCAATCAAGAAATCAGACAATGTATTGCACTGGGCAAATCTGCTGCAAAAGATCTCTTTGAAGTATTAAAGAACAAAGATATCACTTTGAAGACTAAGGTGCACCTGACCCAAGCCATGGCATTTTCAGTAGCCTTATATACATGTGAGAACTGGACAGTGAATAAGTAAGATCATAGAAGAATTGATGCATTCGAGTCACAGTGTTCGCCAAGAATATTGCATGTACCGTGGACTGCTAGAAGAAGGAACTACTCTGTCTTGGAAGAATTAGCACAGCTGGAATGTTCCTTAGAAGTGAGAGTGGCCAGGCTTCATTTCTCGTACTTTGGTCATGCTGTCAGAAGGGACCAGTCCCTGGCGAAGGGCATTCTGCTCGGTAAAGTAGAGGGACAGCAGAAGGGTAAAGACCCTCAACGAGGTGGGTTGCAAAGTGGCTGCAGCAGTGGGCTCAGCCATAGCAAGGATTGTGAGGGTGGCACAGGACCGGGCGGGTTTGTTCTTTGGCACTTAGGGTTGCTATGAGTTGAAACCGACTCAGTGGCACCTTACAACTACAGTGGAGGAACTGGTCTCCCACCCTCCTCATCCTTGAAAGTATAGCGTAGTGTGCAGTATACCAAGAGGACCGTCCTTATCTGTCATAACCAAAAGGTTTGAGCTTCCTGGAGGGGTATGTGTGTGTATGAATGTGGTGTGGTTGGTGTTTTGGTAAAGGATGTTTTTCTGAAAACATCTCATAGGGAAAACAATTTCCTTTTTTAAAATCTCGCTAGAAAGCATCCATCCATTCCAGAGAGAAAGAAATATTGTGCTATGGACAACCTAGATGTCCAACAACTGAGGAATGGATAACCAAACTTTGGTACATTCACACAATGGAATACTGTGCAACACTAAAGAATAATGTAGAATCTGCAAAACACCGCATAACGTGGATGAACTTGGAGGACATTATGCTGAGTGAAATAAGTCAGTCACAA